TATGGACTTGGAAAAATAACTTATGACAAGGACCTTGTTATACGGAAGGACAGACAGACAGACAGACAGACAGACAGACAGACAGACAGACAGACAGACAGACAGACAGACGACAGACAACAGACATACAGACAAACTGATAGATAGATAGATAGATAGATAGATAGATAGATAGATAGATAGATAGATAGATAGATAGATAGATAGATAGATAGATAGATAGATAGATAGATAGATGGATAGATAGAGAAATACAGTGAAAGGGGAGAGAGTGAGGGAGAAAGACCGATTGAGAAAGATTGAGAAAGAGAGAGAGAGAGAGAGAGAGAGAGAGAGAGAGAGAAAGAGAGAGAGAGAGTAAGAGAGAAAGAGAGAAAGAGAGAGAGAGAGAGAGAGAGAGAGAGAGAGAGAGAGAGAGAGAGAGAGAAAAGGGGGGATAGAAAGAGAAAGAGAGAAGAAGAGCTGCAGGAACAATATGTAAGTACCATTTCCATATGTGGAAGATTGTTATCGAGTATCTCCATCTGTCGGCTGTATTGCTACGTGTATAGTGACAGGCAAGGTCGACGTAACCCCTTCTAAATGACCTAAATTGTATCGATGGGAACTAAATCGTATCGATGGAGACTGGTGATAACTGGCACGATCAGTAAGCAGACCCTTTCATGGATCCATGAGAGGAAGGAGCTGTGGCATTGTAACCGCCTGCAATGATACCTATTCTCCAACCAAGTGAGTAAGTAAGCAAGTCAGTAAGTAAGTAAGTAAGTAAGTATGTAAGTAAGTAAGTAAGTAAGTAAGTAAGTAAGTATGTAAGTAAGTAAGTAAGTAAGTAAGTAAGTAAGTAAGTAAGTAAGTAAGTAAGTAAGATGGAGCCTCAATTGTATTGATGGAGACTAAATCGTGTCGATGGGGACGTATAACTCTGAGAATAACAAACAGAAGGACTGACAACCAGAGCTCATTACCAGAACGCCGCCCAGACAACCATCCACTGCCGAGCTCACCCATGGTTCTGTTGATGATTTCCGAAGGGGCGGGAGGGGCGGTGGGAGGGGGGTGGTGTGGAAAAAATGCGAAATTGCATGGGTTTAACGCCCCTTTCATCGGAACTGCGAGGGTATGTAAGAGGCAGGACCTCCAGATTTAACGTCCCACTCCGATAGAACCGAGCCAAATATGTGGAGAGCCTACCCTATCCGTACGTCGTGTTTTACTACCGTATCCATACGACGTGGGGAACTCTGAGCCACCACTTTCCTAAGAGGAAATTTACTCGTTAATCCGATCCGTACTCTTTGCATAGCAGTCTGTCAAAATGACCTTTTTGAGAAATACTGAAAGTTTCAAAGAGATCTTCGTACTAGAAGTTTTCTAAAATGGTCGCTTTTAAGGACAAGCAGGCTAACCCAGATTTCGGGGGTTTCCAGAATCTTAACCTACACCAAAAGTGGGCACTTCCCTACCCATAGGAGAAGTTTGGTTGCATTGATGTGTGTATTTGTTTGGTTATAGAGACAACGCTATTTGTCTTTTAAAGCAACTGAAAAAGGGACAAAAACGTTACCCTCGATTTTCTCAAAACAGCATTTTTTTCGGGATAGCCCCCGTGGGCTTAAAAACGACCAAATGTGAAGAATACAATCCCAGGGGGTATAAAATGACCCCACGTCGTACGTATAGGGTTAAGAGGCAGAACCTCCAGATTTAACGTCTATCTCCGATAGAACCGAGCCAAATACCCGGAGAGCCTTCATTAAGAATCCCCCCCCCCCCCAAACCACCGAGAGTTGTGACCATGGTGCTGTGCGCGCCTCCTCACACGCAAACTTCCCAACTTCCTTGACCGACGACCTTGACATTTGCATTTACCACCAGGATTCTCTAAAACGTGGCGTGTTTGGTTTGTGAGGACATGTGTGTGTGTATGTGTGGGGGAGGGGGAGGGAGAGCGGAGGCATACGGTGTGTTGTCCGCCAGCTATTAGGCACAAACCGTTATAAGTTACTTGTAAACAGTGTGAACTGAAGCGGTTTCGACGACATGAGACGTAAAAAAAATTAAAAACCTTTGCTGGCCAACAGAAGCGCCTGAGGGCTCTCATAAATATTCCTTAGGACTTAAAAAAAAGTCCAAATGGCGTTCATGGTCTAGCAGTTGAACTGTCCGGCTCGTAACCTAAAGGTCACGGGTTCCAACCCCGCCAGGGGCCTGATATTGTGTCTTCAGGAAAGGCATTTAGCACGAATGAGAATGGGCACCCGGCTATAGACTGCGAAAGATCTTGTCAGTTTGTTAGTGATCGCATAATCGGCAGCTTGCACGGTACGATTTCCGGGGAGCCGAAAGTGTTACTGGGAATTCAAAGGGCCAGCTCGGGGTAATAATTCTAGTTGCAAAGTGCAGACAGCTTTCTGCTGAGCACGAATGTGCGCAATATAATTGCTGTTATTATTATTAT